ATATATGGTTTACATAAGAAGTCAACATTAGTGGCCACAAACAATGTTGCTCAAAGTGAATATAACTCAGGCCAACTTTAGCCGACCTCAGAAAGGAGTGTCAGTGTCGTATGTTTTTTTTATTGTTTTCTTACATCACAACCAGAAAAAGGTCAAAAGGGTGTAACATATCAACATGGATAACTGTAAGAAGGTCAAAGGTTAGCATTATAGGCCTTTTCTAGTTTATAGAAGTAGAATTATCACAAAATGTTGATGCATCATAACTAACGTGTCAATTTATTAAGGCCTAATGAACGCTAGGTGTCTCTGAAAATGGATAATGTGCTGCATTGTTCTATGTTCCCATAAGGGTCCATTTTTATATTATAATTTTGATAACATTACGTGCAGTTATTAAGTGAGAAGTCCGGTTTTAATGATATCAATAGTAAGACTTTTCTAGCTACCAGTTCGAGGAGGAAGATTTTTAGATACTCACGGAAAGCTAGAAGATGGCTATCTGCGTTAGCTGTACTGAAGATAGGAAAGGTAGATAATTAGGGGGCAGCTCTTATGGTACTTTAGTCAAATAATGGAATTTAACTGTCACTCTTACAGTGCATGAACTGAAATTTAGGCCACTTGCCTCGCAATATGCTGGTCGCGGGTTGGAAACACACTGCTGATCATGCTCGCCTTTTTTAGCCGTATGAGTATTATAATGTTATGGTCAATCCTATTATTTGTTGGTAAAAAGCTAGCTGTCTTCCCTCTAGTCTATCACTTTCAAATTAGAGATGGTAGACGCAGATAACCTTTGTGTAGCTTTGGCAAAATTCAACAAACAATAATGCATCTTATAACCCCACATTAGGAAGGACGATTTTTTTTCGACAACGGGACGCAAACCAAGGACCACCATATGCATAGTTCAGCACGATAACTACTAGTTTAACAGAAGTTGTGTTAATTGTACACTAATGTTTTTGTTTTTTCCAGGTGAGTAACATCTTCATCATGAGCCTGGCGATCGCTGACCTCACTGTGGGGATGATAGTCATGCCAATCAGCTCGGCGTACGCTATAACCGGAGACTGGATGTTTGGTATCGTGGTGTGCCAGTTCTGGCTTTCAGTGGACTACACCGCCAGCACAGCCTCCATCTTAAACTTGTTTATTCTCAGCTTGGACCGCTATTGGTCCATTCGTTCCCCATTAAAATACCTGCGGAAACGGACTAAAAAGAGGGCACTTATAATGATTGGGATCGTGTGGTTGTTATCAGCGATGTGGATCATCCCGATCATTGGCTGGCATTACTGGTACAATGATGGTGTTCGAAAACAACCTGGTGATGTCTGTGAAACAGAATTCGCCGATAACGTTCTCTTCAAGTTGTCTACGTCTACCGCAAATTTCTACGTCCCGATTGTCTTGATGATATGTCTGTATGCGAAAATATTCCACGAGATAAAGAAGCGAAGTAAGTTTGAAATTGGACAATGTAATACTGGGGGATCACAAGATGATAATAGAATATCCGCAGAAGAAAATAATGTGGATTCCGAGAGACGGATGAGGAATGACGACGAGAGAAGACAAACCTGTCAAAAACAGCTTCGCAGCTCATTTGATGACGAGTATGAAGATTTAGAAGCTGTTACTAAGAGGATGGAGCGACCACGTTCTCCAAGTAACGAACTGTTGCGTGCAACGTGTTCGAGAACTGGAGGTGGTAATTCTGGAAGAAGAGCTTGTATCCGAACCACAAGCAGAGATTCCAATACCGACCCATCCTTTCACAACCTGGCGGAGCCTTCTTTTTATAACCAGAAGTATAATGACGTCACAGGGAAGACTGACATCTTGCCCGCCAGTGGTACTGACACGTTGTTATTAGGAGGTGTCGCAAGAAAAAACTATGATTCTATTGGTAATATTGATGGTAAGAGAGTTAGTGATTTAAAAGACAGCAGAGAAAATATTTCAGGAAAGAAAACCAAACTTTGTCAACTAAAATTCCGAAAATCCTCCAAAAATTTCTTAAAGACTAAGAAAAGAAAAAATAAACAGTCCTTAGAACTGATCGAGTTGTATTCTTCTCGTGAACCGCGCAAACCTGACTCTGATGGTTACATAGATGGTTCTGAATTACAAGACCACAAATGCCAGAGGTCGCTAAGACGGTATGACACTGTCCCACCTCGGCCTGTTAACCGCTCGAGCTTTAGACCGGGGACTCGACTCATACCAAACATAACAACCGCATTACGCATGCGTGTGACCAGGAAAAGCATGGCTTCCAATCTGCGTCAAGAGAAGAAGGCAGCTCGTCAGTTGGGGGTCATAATGGGGGCTTTTGTCTTGTGTTGGCTGCCCTATATCATAACTTTTATCGTCACCGCTTATTGTGATGACTGTATAGACCCCAAGATCCACACTGCTACGATTTGGTTAGGCTACTTAAATTCCACCATCAACCCCTTTCTTTACGCTTTGTGTAACGATAACTTCAAGAGGGCCTTTAAAAATATGTTCCACAGAGGTTCAAGAAACTCGATGTTTTTTCCTGCAAACGCTAAGCCTGACCACTTATTTGCCTAGCTTTATCCTTCCAAGAATTGGTATTGTAATAAAGTTACTTTAATTACATGTTGGTCTTTGAATGAATTAAAAATCAACATTGTAACAGTCACGAGTCTTAAACGTGTCACTTTTTCTCAAATGAAAGAATCTTAGTGAGAATTTCCATCGAAAAACGATACTCTAAGAAGTTACGTATCTTAGTACGAAAACATCTTTTTTTTTTTTACAAATTTAACAAGCTCACAACATTTAGTGGAGTTCTCGTAAGCAGCCATTTTCTACGTGTTATTATAGCCATCTGGCGGTCATTTTCTAAATGATATCTTACACACCCACAGTGGTTAATCTTCCTGATACAGCTTCTCATATGTGATGATCTCTTCCCCAACTGGTTACAATCACCTTTCCACACTAACTGGAGTTAACCACTAAACCACGTAGTTTAACATATCCAAACTATTCGAGTGTCAAATTCACTCACAAAATCATCATCCACATTCCAACAGCAAAAACAAAAAACATTTTTTAATGTAAGCTTCGTTTAAAGTCATTTCACATAATATTCTTGGGTCATAAGTTCACTCAGAAAATGGTTACAACAGGTTTACTCATAAATTCAATTGAACTGACGGCTAAAGAACAAAAAGTACTCCCAGGAGATAAATTCACTCAGTCATTTCCACTTACAATTAAACAGCAGAGAGTATTACTGGGTACTTAGTTCAGTCAGAAGGTTACTACAGCAGACCTTATTCATGGGTGCTAAGGAAATTCAAAAAAGCATTAAAACTTACAACTATGCATTGGGTGCTACATTAACTGAGAAAGTCCTTTCAACTGAAAACAAGTTTTTTATGCTAAATTCGCGCATGAAGTCATTACGACTGGCAACCAAACAAGTATTTTTGGGTGATACATTCATACAGCAAGTCATTAATATTAACAATTAAACAAGAGAAAATATTGTTGGGTGTAAATTCACCCAGGTACTCATTACGAATGACAACTAAACAAATATTCTTGGGTGCTAAAATACCTTAGGGAAGTCATCAATGTTAATAATTAAACAAGAAAATATTTTTGGGTGTAAATGCACCCAGGTAGTCATTACAAATAACTAAACTAGAACTATTTCGTGAAATTACAATACTAGTAACGAGTTAGTTGAAGAATGTTGGACATTAATTGTTGAACATATTGTCTTGATGACAAATTATCCTTTACATCTTGGACATTATTTGTTGAACATATTGTCTTGATGACAAATTATCCTTTACATCTTGGACATTATTGTTGAACATATTGTCTTGATGACAAATTATCCTTTACATCTTGGACATTAATTGTTGAACATATTGTCTTGATGACAAATTATCCTTTACATCTTGGACATTAATTGTTGAACATATTGTCTTGATGACAAATTATCCTTTACATCTTGGACATTAATTGTTGAACATATTGTCTTGATGACAAATTATCCTTTACATCTTGGACATTATTTGTTGAACATATTGTCTTGATGACAAATTATCCTTTACATCTTGGCCATTAATTGTTGAACATATTGTCTTGATGACAAATTATCCTTTACATCTTAGACATTATTTGTTGAACATATTGTCTTGATGACAAATTATCCTTTACATCTTGGACATTAATTGTTGAACATGTTGACTTGATGACAAATTATCCTTTACATCTTGGACATTAATTGTTGAATCTATTGACTTGATGACAAATTATCCTTTACATCTTGGACATTAATTGTTGAACATATTGTCTTGATGATAAATTATCCTTTACATCTTGGACATTAATTGTTGAACATATTGTCTTGATGACAAATTATCCTTTACATCTTGGACATTAATTGTTGAACATATTGTCTTGATGACAAATTATCCTTTACATCTTGGACATTAATTGTTGAACATATTGTCTTGATGACAAATTATCCTTTACATCTTAGACATTATTTGTTGAACATATTGACTTGATGATAAATTATCCTTTACATCTTGGACATTAATTGTTGAACACATTGTCTTGATGACAAATTATCCTTTACATCTTGGACATTAATTGTTGAACATATTGTCTTGATGACAAATTATCCTTTACATCTTGGACATTAATTGTTGAACATATTGATTTGATGACAAATTATTCTTTACACACAAACTTGTTTCATCAGAAGCTGAGAAAAAAATTGTCAAAATGTTCTTTTTTTAAATGGAAATATTACACTCATTTTATAAGTGTACTATGGAACTCGGGAGTTGTTATACAGAGCAGTTGGTAAATTTACACGTGTACTATGGAACTCTCAAGTTGTTATACAGATCAGTTGGTGGATGTCTGACGTAAACAGGAGAGAAACAGATGTAGACTTTTGTTAACAAGGTATCGATATATTTGTAACCTACTAGTTATTATATTAGTTTGAAATTTTATCCTTTTACAACAAAAATTCTTAAAAGTGTTTCTTTCTAAAACCAAATCTGAGACACATTTGCGGTAAGGCTCTACTCATAATTTGAATAAGTTGGTTTCTTGATACTCTTGGACGACCAAATAGTAGGATTACACCATCACTGTTTTAGAATGGCACGTTTTTGCGCTAAGGGGGATTTCAACCGTGAGATCTCGAGTTCACACACCCAGAACGCTAATCAGTAAGACACGTCCGGCTCATAGCTGTTCGAAATATGTACTGTTGACATCACGACAAAATTTCACAACGTGATCACTTTTACACGTTCTTACAAAGGTTAAGGACATCTCAATAAGTTATTTTAACAAAATGAAAGAAATGGAGAGACATTTAATAAAACATGACTAAGAAATATGATAGTAAGTGCGAGACAAAAAAAGCGTTATGGTGGTTCGTGATATTAACCCTACTTTAAGGTAATTAAGGGTATGATTCACCCAGCTCAAGTAATAATCTCCGATTTAAGAAGGTGGCAATACAGTTAAACTTCCCCTCTGACTACCAATTTAATTTGTTTAGAAACGAAAGGTTGGTGAATTTTACAGTAGCCTTCTTCCAATGAAAATCGGGTGTATTTTGACCAATGAAATTCAGTTCTAGGTCAAACCACACATGGGCACTTTCGTAATTGGTCAGCCAAAAACTACTTTCACATAGTAATGTGACGTTAATAATTGTGCAAATAAGGTTTGTTCATCTAAGTAAATACTATTGGTTCCAATTTGTATATTTGTTACATTGAAACTCAACGTTACCCCCTTAAACATACGGGCTAAGCGATCCAGTCAGAAATTCCTATGTTCAAGGACAACCATGCCGAAAATTATTCCAGCTGTTTCTGGAATGATCAGGGAAGTATATAAGCCTTCGTTAGTATATAAACCTTGCAGAGAAAGCCAGCAAGAATGAATGAAGAGAGAGCATTAGTTACTTTGAGTTCCCTGTAATTTATGATTCTGTTAGTTTCGAGCTAGTGAGCCGTAAAGTGTGTGTTTTGCACTCGTAGAGAGCGAAATTATCGAGATTGTGAATCGCTGTGATTTATAGCATGTACTATAAAAGTTGTTAAGTTTAAAGTGACGAGAAACGTACTGATTGTAGAACTACTGTGTATTAAAAGTTTGTATCGAGGTAGAATAAACTGGCATAATCAAGGAAGGAATTGTTTGGCTGAAAATCCTTGGAAAGAATTTCTACCGGAAACAAACAAGCATATATGAAACACAGTAAAATATAACTTATGACCAAAGGATGGACTGCAACTGTCTACTACATGGCTAGTCTTAAATGAATAGCGGAATTGACTGCCGCTTTTGTAACACGTTTTCACAGCCGAATGTGTGGAGCGTGTTGAACGTCAGCTAGCGATGACCGATTTAAGAGGAGCATTTCAACGCACATCATCTATGTAAGCCAATAATCTTGCCAACTACCAAAATACGCATATTTTAAGACCATTCTATTTAAAATCAATTTGTACAGACACTTTTAGCTAACTTAAAATTTGGTCAACCTTATACAAGATAGCACATTTCTGATGCAAAGTGAATTCAGTTACAGTCAATAGTATTGAGTTGTGGTTTGGTTTTATTAATTCGCGGAAAGCTACACGAGGGCTATCTGCGCTAGCCATCCCTAACTAGAGGGAAGGCAGCTAGTCATCACCATTCACCGCCAACTCTTCGGCTACTCTTTTACCAACGAATAGTGAGATTGACCGTCACATTATAATTCCACCATGGCTGAAAGGGCGAGCATGTTTGGTGGGACAGGGATTCGAACCCACGACCCTCAGATAGCGAGTCGAGCGCCCTAACCACATGTCCATGCCGAGCCAGAACATGGTAATGCCTGGCGTTTGGCCACAGATATTTTTATCATGTTATTCTTACAATTCCATAAAGTATTTCAACACACATTTCGTGTTTAAAAAAATATGATGACTAATCGAATAGTATCACATTACTGTTAGGGTGTTGAAAGGCTCGGTCCATAATATAAATGAAACCGTGGTGATACAAGAAAAAATACATTATTGTTATTTGATTTAACAAAATATTTGGATTTTATATCTCAAGAAGAATAGTCGTGATCACAGAACTTTCGTAAGTATCAGAAAGAAAGAACAAAAAATATCATCAATTCATGCAAAATAAGTTTTTGCTTATTGGAAGCAAAAAATAAGTTTTTGCTTTCAATAAGTGGATATTTGAGTTTGTTTTCGTTAAAAGGGCAAGTCTATGTATAAAATCAACAAGAAGTTGAAGCTAATCTAATATTTACTCGATGTTCCATTAAACAGAGTTCGATTTCGTGTACGAACAGTCTTATTATGGTAAGATATCGAAAACTATCGATCTACGAAAGTATGATCATTTTTATGAGTTCAAGTTTGCAAACGATGAGAAAATAGTTGCATTTTGTAAAGACATGTTTAGAAGGAAACATGTCTACACTTACTTTTAGATCTTTTGCAACTTGAAACATACGAGTGTACCCTGAGATAAAATAGTGTAACATA